CAGTCTGTCACCTTAACTAATCAAAAAAAAAAAAAAATCACTTTCGCAGATGTATGCTGAAATGGGAACAAACTTCTTCTTTCTTTTTTTTTTTTGCAATCAAGCTCCTTTTTAACATTCCAAAGATAGATCGAGGCCGGGGACCTCACAAATCAACCCGGGGTTATCCTGGGAGCCTTACCCAGTTTCGCTTACGAGCCTCCACTCGCAACAGAAAAAATGTCTGTCCCAGGCTTTCATCTCAGAAATATCCCAATGTATCCTACCAAAAACCTTTCTTAAAACCTAAAACCCTGAGGTCCGGCTCATGCCTGCTCCTATATCTCGACGTATCCTACCCAAAGACATTTCTTAAACCCTAAACCCCTGGGGTACGGGCTCATTCCTGCTCCTCTCAGCTGTGAGGCTGTCAGCTTGGCTTGTTTAACGAGAGCAGGGTGAAGTGCTTGGGATGCCGTGCGTGTTTTTCCTTCGTACTCTTCCCTTCTTGGGTTCCTTGATTCCGTCGGTGTCTCAGATGCTGGCAAGAGCCTCTCTTGCGTCTGAAAATGTCTGAAAGACGATTGACACACAGTCGCCGTGGAGCTACTGGCCCGTCGACGTTCCCCAGGCGAGTCTGAGAGTGTTGTCCATTATGGTCCCCAACTTGCCATTACCCAGTACTTCCTTTTTGAACTTGTCAATGATGTCTTGTTCTTTGGCTGGTTCTTCCCAAACACGCTTCCTTGTGTGGCGCCAATCAGACTGGTACTCAGCGCGGAGGTTTTGTATGAGTCCCTCCCATGCTTCATTCAGTGACACGGGCTGTTTGGCGATTGTGTGCTTGCAGCGCTTCTTCCAGATCTCCCATAATGTGAGAAGGCGGAGTCTTTGGTAAAGTATACGTTGCCACCTTTCCCGCAGACGTGGTGTAACGGGAGTGAGGCTGAGGGTGAGCTGAGGGAGAGGAGAGAGAGAGGGAGAGAGTGAGAGCACACACACACACTCACTCACTCGACACGAC